TCACCAACTGTGAGACCATGACCTGAGCCAGGGTCGGAGGCTTAGTTAACTGAATGAGCCATCCAGTTGAGCCAACAATAACACATTTTAAATCTAGTTCAAGACTCCTTTAGAGTTACTTTTTCATTTAGAATATATCCAACTGATGCTGTGTAGTCAGATCATTGTGTTAGAAAGTTAATTATTTTTCTTGGGGTGCCTGAATGGCTCAGTCCTCTGAGCATATGACTCTTGATTTCAGCTTAGGTCGTGATCTCTTAGTTTGTGAGATCGAGCCCCACTTCTGGCTCTGTGCTGACAGTGGGGAGCCTGCTTGGGACTGTCTCTCTCCCTCTCTCTGCTGCACCTCTGTTACTGTGCTCCCTGTCTCTCTCTGTCTCAATATAAATAAATAAACATTTCAAAAAATATATATTTTTATTCAGCTTTCAATTTTATATACAATTAAGGTTTTCTGCTAATAGTTCTATTTTATCATATCTCCCTTTGCCTAAATTTAATTTTGTTTTATGAATATGTAAAACAGTATCATTCAAAATGAAATCCATAGTAAAAGTTATGTTCAAAAGGACTGTACTTCATTTTGTAATAGATGTTAATCTATTTTGGGTGACTTCTTTATTATGACATAAAATATGGATTCAAATTTACCTATTCTCTGTTGACTATCCATTTGTCCTTGCCATTTATTGAAAAATCTATCTTCTCTATTGATACAAGAGGCCAAATATTCATATGCGTTATTAATATGGAATTTTTTCAATTGGTCTATCTATTCACTGCTAGTAAGAACATGCTTAGCTTCTTTTACTAGTTGAGTAAAGCCAACTCACATTGATGACACACCTGATGTCTTTTGTCTAAAACCAGTCATATTATTTTATATCATATATGCACATACTCTGCGTCTACACTCTCTTATTGTTCTATTTTTATCTCTTTTTCCTTTTTTCTTTTTTGAATTCAGAAAGGTCTCATGTTTGTTATTCTACTGTCACCTTTATCCTAAAGGCTGATATAATGCAAGTTCCAGTCTTTCTTAATTAGTTTCCTACTCTTTGATTTTCAGTTTTACCTAACATTTTTCTACTCCAACCATTAGCTATGATCTGATCAAGGAGACCACTCAACCTCCCATTTCCCCCGGACTTGATCTTCCTTTTAAGTTATTTTTCAGTTGGAGCACAGAGTATTCAACTCTTATTCTTCCACTCTGTCCCCACCTTATTTTGGTCCTACTAGTCGAAGAATGCATTGCTTTCCTGTCCTTTTGCTAAAGTTCCCCCCCCCCCCAACTTTGGGTGTCAAAGCTTGTTTTCTAGGCCATTTTAAAAAGAGAGATTCAAGAGTGCAGTGAGCCCTGAGTTATTGCATATTTAAAGCTCTTTTTCTAAGGTGTTGATACCTGAACAGCTTTGTTGCATATTAAAGTCCTCGGTTCACACTTTGATTTTCTAGTTTCCTGTAAATCTGCTGCGTTTCAGTCCACTATTCCATATTCCTCTCAAAACATCTGAGGCCGAGTTGATTTTCTTCTTTTCTTCCTCCTCCTCCTCTCATTACTTTTTTCTTTTATAAATGCCTAACAGTTATTTTCTGGGAGTCGTTTGGACTTTCATGCCTGCTTATTTATTTGTTAAAGTCTGATCATTTAACTACCACAGGATCTATCAGTGAAATGACCATTTCAGCTTAATTTCCCCAGATACACCATAGACTCTTCCAATATGAAATTCAAGCCTTCATTTATTTCTATGAAATTTTCTTAGAAATTTTAAATGTATGTTCTTCATTTTTTTTCTTTATGAGTTCTGTGCATATAATATAGCCTTTGCTTTTGTCATCAGATCAAACAGTGATTCCTTTTACTTCTTCTTTTATTTTATTTTCTTACCCTTTTATCTTCTGATTTCATTCTTTGTCTGGACTACTGTCATGCTTACTTCCCTGATACTTGTAATTTTTATTTCTAAGATTATTTTGGGGTCATTTCAAATTTCTTCCTTCATTATGTACAACTCTTAATTTGAACGTTTCTTTTCCTTCCTTTTGTCCTTTTTTTCGCCATTCTGTCCCAGGGATTTCGTCATGGGTAAATAATAGTTTAAGGATTATTTTTTAATTATAATTTTCTTCTTCTTCATTCATGATTTCTAGGGGACACTTTTAATTAGCTAAGGCCTATCATATTCTGTTTTCTTCTTAAAATATATTTTAAGATTGCATTTTAATTTTAATGATTTTTTCCTCCTGCATCACAAATTACAGTGGTGTGCAGGAGGTGCTGAGGGTTTGGGTTGGTTTAATGTCACAGGTTAGGCGCCTTAGCAACAGACTCTGAACTAGAATCTGGACTTTATTAAGATCAACACCTTAATAAAGCTAGTGGACGAAAGCAGTGGTGAGTGGGTGGTAGAGGGAGAAATAAAGCTGTAAAACATCTCTGGCTGTTTCCATGGGGAGATCTGGACCTACGATGGCCTTCCAAAATTGTCCCATTTAAGGCAGATGGACACGTCTTCATACTTTTCCTCCAAAAAGTCTTGGTTGTAAGCCACCTTGAGAAAGAACATTACCTTTGATGATGTAGCCTTCTGTAGCTTGGGTAATCCTGAAGGGACTGACACTTGAATCTGTCTGTCAATAGCATTGGATATAGTCAAGTATAGTTTTGTTAAACTGATTGTGTTCATTGGGGAAGGCGACATGTTAGTATGTCTTTGGATCACCATTCTTTATGGTTTCTCTATGGCTCTGACTTATCCCACCTCTGTCTTTCTTTCTTTCAGAATCAAGCCTGCAAAGGGCACCTCTCATTTCAGATTGCTCCCATCTTCCCTCAGAAGCACTACTTTTTCCTGGGAATTCATACAATTTCAGGTCTCCTTCTTTTATTTTCCTAGTTTTTGTTTTTGTTTTTGTTTTGGCTTGGAGTCCTGGGGGCGGCGGGGGAGGTTATGGCAAATAGAGAAAATGCTTCTAAAGGAAACTAGCAAGGAAGTTTAAAAAGCAAAATGAGAAAGAGAAGGAACCAAGTGAGTGATATCTGGCAGAGTTGCATAGATCTCAGAATTGTCTTGATCACCAGCAGTGCTGGGCTTTGACACTACACCCTCTGCAATCTTTGCTTAAGGGCCACCCTTAGCTTTTTCTCTGTGGTTGGAGAGGGCTCCACAATCTTGATGGAAGGCTTCTGAAAACACCATACTGGTGTTGGCTTTTAGATGGAGTGGGATAGAGATGAGAGCCATAAAAATGAAAAATGCCACCAAAGAAAGCTCAGAGGGTTTTGGTGAAAGGCTGCTGTTATCCACTGATGTTACTCACTATGGTCCACTGGTCCTCAGGACTGTTTGCAGATTGTCTACATTTAGCATGGGGATTTCTCCAAAGGTAAATAAATAGATAAAACATGGGATTTTCTATTTCTTGAGGTGACTTTATCTGTATTTTATCCTTGTATGTCCCTCTTCCTTGTGTTTTCCACAGAGTACCCCAGTGACGTATTTCCTTCTGAATGGACTTGGAAACTGACTTTGCTGAATTTGGGATGTTTATTTCCTATTTACATATTATTTGAAGTTTGGAATATTCTTTTTCCTAATTATGCTATTGTCTTTGATGATGGTTTTGTTTGGTTTGATTTGATTTGTGTTGTTGGGTGAGAACATGGTTTTGTTTGTTTGTTTGGTTGGTTTTTATTTTGTTTTGTTTTGTTTTGTTTTGTTTTGGTTTCTTTGTTCTGTATACTTTTTGGAGTTTGAGAGGAGAGATTTGGATTTGGGTTGTTCGATTTGTGAGTAGAGTATATTCTTAACATCTTATTTAAAATCATTGTTTTTATACCTTATTTATAATCATAATAAATATGTTTATATGTTTAATGTAAAATAAAAACATTTTAAACTCATTATTTTCTTCAATACCCATAAGAAAACTTTATTTTTATTAATATAACTTTAAAAATATTAAGAACTTGTGGACCAATAACCTTAAATCAGTTGCCCCCGGAGGCATGAGTGAAACCCAATAATTTTATTGTCTAAGGAATTATAGTGATCTACCACTAAGTTACACATGTAGCCAAACTCATATTTCAGGTATCCAGAAGTTCAGTGTTTTGATTAGTAGCTCCAATTTAAGCAAACATAAATGAAAACCTTCAGTTAGTTTGAAGTAATCAATAAATTCATCAATCCAAGCATTTATTGTCTATTTAATCACATTGTGTGTGTGTGTGTGTGTGTGTGTGTGTGTTTCTGAAAATTTCACATCTTCATCTAGCCCCACATACATTTTTAGTCTTATTAGAAAGGCTTCTATTTATTTTGGCTTAATTTTATAGTATGATTTGAATTCTTGTTACATTATTTTTCCCTTAAATTTCTTAGCTTTAGCCTTGGAAGAACATATTAGTTCCATGAAGTATTTACAAGATTGTCTTGCCTAAATGGAACCTCTTTTATTATATATCCAGCTACTGAAAGTGTTGGTATTAATTGATCAAACCCTATAACTATATTTTCATGTAATATGTTCTTATGATTTTCACAGCAACAAAGAGATTTTACTTCTTCCGCTAAACCCTATTAATTTCAGCCAATATTATGTTTATTTGTAGCTGAAATGTGGGCTTAGCTTTAGATAAAATCTTGGTTACAGCGAGACGACAAGTACTGCTGTTGGTCTTTAAATTTTAAAGGGCATGTTTCTTAGGGTTAAGTTATCTACCATATATTCCATCAGGGTGGCCTTTATCCAAATGTAGGACAAAGATACTATTATCTTCACATATGTATTTCCCCCTACCTCTGAGTCTTTCTAGAAATGCTTCACTTTATAGATTTTTGCTGAACCTCTGCTAAACTACTAAGTGTTAATCACCAATGAAGAGTTAATATAAGCCTTTTTTCAGAAGAATATGCATAATTGAGTTCCTGGAAAGAATTTCAGTGTGTGTGTGTGTGTGTGTGTGTGTGTGTGTGCGCGCGCGCGCGTGCATAAACATGGGTTGGCGGGAGGGTCTTCCTACACCTTGAATAAGCAATGTTTTGTGTCTTATGATTCAACTGAATTCTGATATTCTACATGGAGATAACATCAGAACCTATAGGTTAAGGGTTCTGTCCTACAGGCCTGACCTTCTCTCCATTCAGACACCAATCGCAAAACTGAGTTATCATCTATGCTTCTGATGGGCTAAACCAGAGGTTCTTAAGACTCCCTCCCCATATTGGCTTGATTTATAGAACAGCTCACAGAACTCACAGAAACATTTTACTTACTAGATTACCAGTTTATTATGAAAGGGGATGACTCAGGAACATCCAGATGGAGGGCAAGGTATGGGGAAAGGGTGTGCAGCTTTCATGCCCTCTCTGAACATGTCACCCTCCCCCATCTCTACATGTTCACTAATCTGGTTGCTCTCTGAACCTTATCCTTTTGTGTTTTTATGGAGGCTTCATTACATAGACACAACTGATTATATCATTGACCAATTTCAACTGATTCGACCTCCAGGCCTTCACCCCTTCCTGGAGATCAGAGGGTGGGACTGAAGGTTCCCACCCTCCAATCACTTGGCTGGTTTTCCTGACAACCAGCTCTCATCTTTAGGTTACCAAAGGACTTTGCAGAAGTCATCTCATTAACATAGAAAAAGACACCTTTATGGTTCTCATCACTTATGAAATTCCAAAGGTTTTAGGAACTCTGCAAGAAATGGGGAGGAAGACCAAATATATATTTCTTATTATAAATCACAATATCATCGCGCAAAATAGGCAGATCCTGACTGAAAATGTTGAATGCCCAAGCACATAAATCCTAGTTATCAAGATGTCACACTTAAGAAGGTGAAACTTTTCTTGTGGATGGATGAATGGAAAGGAATGAGTCACAGTGCCACGTTACTGCCAGGACCGAAATATCTGAAATGCAGAAACCAGGTTTGCTTAAACCAGTAATAATATAGCAGGCTGGGCTGCTGAATAAATTTGTTGAATAAATGAATTGATTAATCTAGCCTGTTTCTTCATTGAGTGAGCCCGTCTGCTAATATTTTATGAAAAACTGATTTTTTTTCTGTTTTAACAGTCTCAATAATACTAATGAGATCTGAAATCTGCCAATTTTTCATGTGGAGTCAAACATAAATTAATAGTAATGACTCCATTTCCATTTTATCCATTAATTAATTATCTTTTCAATCACAGTTTTGAAAGGATTTTTTTTCTAACAGATGGGTCAAACATCTGTATTTAACCATTTTATTATATCACATGTAAAGCGTAAAGTGTATATGCTATCTAAATTGAATGCAATCATTCAAAGGAAAAAAAAGTTTTGGATTATTAACAGATATTTTTATCATATTTCATTTAATTTTATGAAAAAATTATTCAACTTCAATTACTTTCTCTTTGACTTTTCTTTATAAAGGTGTTATATATTGATATTTTTCTTTTTCCAGAGGTATAGTTTAATTTTCAATTTCAAGTCTCTATTTATCTGAAAGAATACTAATTTTATTTTGGTGTATATACATATAATTTCTTCAACAAATATAGTTTAATTTTATTTAGGAAATTAAGTTCAACAGAATTAATAGTTTCAACAGTTTTATTTTTTTATTTTTTTAATGTTTATTTATTTTTTGAGACAGAGAGAGACAGAACTTGAGCGGGGGAGGGGCAGAGAGAAGGGGCAGAGAGAGAGGGAGACACAGAATCTGAAGCAGCAGGCTCCAGGCTCTGAGCTGTCAGCACAGAGCCTAACTGGGCATTGAACTCATGGAACACGAGATCATGACCATGAGCTGAAGGCGGCCACTTAACTGACTGAGCCACCCAGGCTCCTCTAGTCTCAATAGTTTTAACTTTTAATCTTTTGGGGGAAGTTTTGATTGTATCTACTAATTATTCCCGAGTCTTGGTCCACTCTTTCTATGGTAACATCATTGAAATTCTTTAAAATGTTATATAACAAATGAACTATTATGAGTAAGTGCAGTGTATCTGTTAGAGCATAGCTCCTAGAATGGGTTTTTCTGCCATGAACATTGATCTTCAGATCATAATGGGGATAAATCAAGTGGGAGAAAGTCCCAGAACTTATGGTCTAAGGCAGTTGTTCTCAAACAACTCTTGATGTACATCAGAATCACCTGTAGTACTTATTAAGACACAGATGACTAGGTTGCATGTCAGAACCTTCTGTTTCCTAGGTCTGATTTGTAACTTAAGGGTTTACATTTCTAACTCATTTCCTGGTGTCGCTGAGGATGCTGTTGGCGCAGGGACCACACCTGAAGAGGGAAGCCTAGGTCTACATGCTCTAAATAAGCTGTTTTTCGAGTGTTATATTATTGGCAGGAAGGAAAAGGAGGTTTTAAGACTCTGGATGCTCCTGAAAAGTCCTGACTGCACTCTCCTTCAACAGTCACAGCATTACCATCTCCTCTACTGCCATAGGGAGACCATGAAGATGAGTCACATGGGTGTCACTGTGATAAGCCCCTAGGTCAGCCCTCATCTCCTGCTTTCCAACTTCCTTCTGCCTCAACACTTCTCTACTTCATTTTCCTTATTTTCTGTTTTCCTGGCTCCTGAGTCATTTCTAAGTGTCCTCTGAAACTCACATTTCATCACCAACATGCACTCTCTGTCCTCAACTGCTTCTCTTTGACTTTTTGTTTGAACTAAGTAGACTCTTTGCCACAGCCATTGCTTCCTCAGCAGTCCTCTGCAGCAAGGGCTGTTTTACCTCCCAAACTTTTGAATATTTGACCTGGGGGTGGAATAGACATCCTGGCCATTTCCTAATCTCTCTCAGCTCCTCCTTCTCAATTCCATTCCCACTTTTGAGACTTAGGTTATAGGATGTATCATCAAATTACCCACCTGTTATCATCACCTCCTAATACTTAGTTAGATCATCTTTATCTGATAAGCATTTAATTACCCAATTCACTTCCTCACTCTGGCAACACTTTAAATTAAATTTATTGATAATTTCAGTTTATGGGTTGATGAATCTCTTGAACCGATTTACTCCTAGTTTCTTGAATGATCTTAAGTTCCACACTCAGCAAATCATTCCCAGGACATAGCCACATTTTGTCACTGTCTATAACAGCAGACCTTTCATTTTCTCAATTTCATGCAATTGTTCCGATATTCAGATTTCTTTTCAAGCCATTCACAAAAGTTTTCACCAGGAGCCTGTGGGCTATTGATTCTACCAAACTTGAACTGTGTCACTGCCCTGCTCTTATATCCCATTTTACTCATACTTCAAAATGTATCTAATTCAGGCCACTTCTCACTGTCTTTATCACTGCCAGGCTAATCCAAGACATTCTCATCAATCTCTTTATGTTCCCACTCCTGATGCTGACTCTGTAGATTCTCAACTCTATAGCTAGAGTTTAGGGTTTTCCTTCTTAAAATGTTTGTCAGAGAATGTTAGAAATAGTTCCCCATTTCTGTCACAGTAAAAGACAAAAAAGCTCCTGTTCATAGTCAACATTGACAAACTAATGATCTGCACTGTGTTCCTTAAACTGTCCAGGAATGTTCCTACCTCAGGGTCTTTGTACTAGCTGTCTCTTTTGTCAGTGATGTTCATTATCAAAATATGCACATGTCTTGCTCCCTTATCTCCTTTAAGTTCTTGCTGAAATGTCACTTTAAAAAAAATTTTTAATGTTTTTTATTTATTTCTGAGAGAAAGAAACAGCATGAGCAGGGGAGGGTGATACAGAACCTTAAACAGGTTCCAGGCTCTGAACTAGCTGTCAGCACAGAGCCCAACACGGGGCTCGAACCCACGAACCATGAGATCATGACCTGAGCTGAATTCGGAAGCTTAACCAAGTGAGCCACCCAGGCACCCTGAAATGCCACATTTTAATGGGCTTTCTTGATAATTCCAACTACAGTTATGATTCCTAACTATTGGTTATGTCTTGTTTATGGCTTGTTTTTCTCCAAAGAACTTATCACCACGTAAAATCTTTTTTATTTCATTCATAAATTTTAAAAAATGTATAAAAACAAATAATGTGCTCTATATTTAAGTCTGAAAAACACAATAAAAGTGGTACTCAGAGGAAATTGTTAGTCTTCTTTATTAACATGAAAGTAAATAAATGATGCCTTCTATTTTAAAAGATAGCAAAATAAAAAGATAAATATAGGGATGGATGATCATATGACTTAATAATTATTAATGCATAAGTTAATTCCAAAATAACAGAAGAATTTTTATTCATAATAGAAATTATGAATAAAATAAATAATGGTTCTTAAGGAAATGAATAAAAGAGAAAGACATTTAGGTGTTCTGAAGAATTAATAAAGGAAGAAGTATAGAACTTTGGAAAAGATAAAAGGGAATAATCAAAGTAATATTGTGTGTCAACTATACTGAAATAAAAAAATTAAAAGAACAACAAAATCAATAAATACAGAACATGGTAAAAGGAATTATTGTTTGTTTTGAAGGTCAACTGTTATTTTTGCCTTAGATATTTTTGTAATAATTTTTCTTCAAACAATCCAAAACTAAAAAATATGAAATTTTCATTAAACAACTTTCCTTATGTTTACAGAAATTATTCAATAAAATTTCTTTATGAAAGAAGTTATAGTTACAGAGCAAATTCAAAGAATTATATGAAATAACTTATTCAGGTGTATAAATAAATTTGATAGCACAAATGAAAGAGAAAAAACATGGGGGCGCCTGGGTGGCTTAGTCGGTTAAGCGTCCGACTTTCGCTTAGGTCATGATCTCGTGGTTCGTGGGTTCGAGCCCCGCGTCGGGCTCTGTGCTGACTGCCAGCTCAGAGCCTGGAGCCTGTTTCAGTCTGTGACTCGCTCTCTCTCTGACCCTCCCCTGCTCACGCTGTCTCTCTCTCTCTCTCCTAGAAATAAATAAAAATATTAAAAAAAAAAGAAAGAAAGAGAAAAAACATAAATAAATAAGTAAAACTGACTAAAGAAGAGATAGAAAAATTAAGAAACCAGGAAAGTTGTCAAAAATCTATTTCTCATAAATTTTGCATCATATTAATTTTCGATACTATTTTAACAAGGTGGCTGTTGGAGCTCTTGATATCGCAGTCATATTTCAGTCAGAAGGGATGAAAATAGGACACGAACACAGCATTTTACTTACATCAAAGTGTTCAGAAATTCTCCTAGCTGCTAGGAAAGTTGGAAAATATAGACTTTTATCTGAGCAGCAATATGCCCAGACAAAAATGTTGTGATTATGTTATGAAGGAGATTGAGTGAGCCAACTAGAAATCCTTAGTACAAAGGCATAAAATATCTGAATAATTATAGACATATAATATCATGAAAATGTTAATAGTCTCAAAGGACAAAGCTCACATTACCAGATATTTATACATGTTACAAATTCATGGTAATAATAATAATATGCTACTGATATGAGAAATAAAAAATGAAGTGAGATTAATAGAACTAAGGAGTTCAGAAATAGATACCCCACACTTGTGGCAGACCTTACTCTTTGGTGTAAGTGCACCACAAATCTAGGAATAAATGGTATTATTAGACTATCCACCTCAATCGCATGGGGAGAATTATATCCCTATCTCACACCACCTATAAAAACATATCCCCAAATATTAATGATTTAAATGTGAAAGTATGCATGTAAATGTGAGAAAAGTAATGTGGGAGAAAATCTATATTACTTCCAATGGGGAAGAATTTCTTAATTGTAACATTCAAACACTTAAGTACAAAGGTAATCATTGAATAATGACAGCATCCAAGTTATGAATTTTTGCCGAATGAACACTGCCATGTACAAAGCAAGCTGATGCCTGACATGCAAGGTGACATTATTGCAATTTCTGAAATCAACAAATATTAAATATGTATATATTGTACATTACATAAAACACCTACCATTGCATGAAAGCCTTGAAGAATGACATGTACTCAGCCATGTGATGTGTTTCCCCTAGTATCATTCACAATGATTTTATTTATTACTAATATCTTTATTTTAAATTGTGTATATACTAAACCCTGTCCTTTATCAGGAATTCTCTCATTTGTTATTAACTCTGCCTAATGGCCCATAGTCTGCCCCTTCCCACCTTCATGTATTAGTTTAAAATTTACCTCCTTGGGCATGCTGCTTTTGATCATTTAAAAACAACCTACCCATTTACTTTCTTTTCTAGCACTCTATAACTGTTGTCTATAGTTTTTATTACAGTGTGATAATTATGCTGTTTAACTGTTGGGAGATAATAGAGAAAAAAAATCTTCATGTTTTGACAATGAGGGTTTTCTGAGTGAATTTTGATGAAACTTGGGATCTTGGGCTAAGAGTAAGCAAATTCAAATTAATTTACAACTCGGTAGATTGTGAGAAGTACACAGAGATTTGCACAACTTCCCCTTTCAAGAAGGAAGATGATGGGGGCATTGGGGACCCTTGTGCCTGGAGACACAGAATTTATCTGGCTCTTGGAGAGATGTACTTATAAATAAATAAATAGAGAATTGAAGTTCCCACCTGGTTACATATCCAAGGATCTCTCTATAGGAGGGCAGGAGAGCATCTGACTCTTTCCCCTCTGTAGGCAGAGAAAATTCACTTTTTTTCTTCATTCTTTGTTTATGACACAGATAGCAAAGTTTGTGTGTATAGGACATTTGACCTGACTTTTAATGTGTTGACCTAGGCTAAGAATTGAGGGATGGGGAACCATGCGGTCACTTTTTAAGTAAATAATTATAATCCGTTTCTGGTCCTAAGCACCTCATATGCATAACAGGACAAAATTAATAAAGCTGAATATTAAAAACCTGTATGGCTGATTGATGCTGGGAAATGTGTGTGCTTGTGTTTGAGTGTGCCTCTCTGGGTGTGAGGCATTTGCGTATGTGGGTCCATATGTTCTTGGTGACTTAACTGTCATTTCTCACCAGTGATGCTGATCATGATCCACAGTGTTTCTTGCACCCCAGCTTTTCTTGCCCCACACTTCCCAGTCAATAGTCCGACTTTCATTCCACAGCTTGTGGGTGTGTGTGCTCCTCATTCAGTCCCAGATTCCCTGTCTTCACTGTCAGTCTCCCCACTGCACAAGAAGGCGGATGCTTGTATGCATACACACTGCTCTACCAGTTAGCATATTTCTCAGCATAGATCCGACTATGAACATAGAGTTAATGAGTAAACACCCTTCCAAAATGTTTAAATGTTGAGATTTAAGACAAAGGCAATCAAGGTTTTGTGGATTTCCACAGCATTTTTAAAATATGTGCTTCCATGGTCAACAGACACATGAAACGACGCTCAGCATCCCTCCTCATCAGGGAAATACAAATCAAAACCACACTGAGATACCACCTCATGCCAGTCAGAGTGGCTAAAATGAGCAAATCAGAGTACTCTAGATGCTGGCGAGGATGTGGAGAAACGGGCACCCTCCTACACTGTTGGTGGGAATGTAAATTGGTACAGCCCCTCTGGAAAACAGTGTGGAGGTTCCTCAGGAAACTAACAATAGAACGTCTCTATGACCCAGCAATAACACTGCTAGGAATTTACCCAAGGGATACAGAAATGCTGTTGCATAGGAGCTCATGCACCCCAATGTTCAGAGCAGCACTCTCAACAATAGCTAAAACATGGAAAGAGCCTAAGTGTCCATCAGCGGACGAATGGATCAGGAAGATGTGGTTTATCTATACCATGGAATACTACATGGCAATGAGAAACAATGAAATCTGGCCATGTGTAGCAACATGGATGGACCTTGAGGGTGTTATGCTGAGTGAAATAAGTCAGGCAGAGAAGGACAAATACCATATGTTTGCACATATAGGAGGATTAGGAGGAACTTAACTGAGGAACAAGGGGGAGAAGAAGGGGGGAAATGGTGGGGGAAAGGGAGAGAGGCAAACCATGAGAGACTCTTGAATGCTGACAAAAACTGAGGACTGATGGATGTGGAGGGAGGGGGGATGGGCATGGAGGAGGGCACTTGTGGGGAAGAGCACTGGGTGTTATGTGGAAATTAATTTGACAATAAACTATTTGTAAAAAAAAATAATAAGATAAAATAAAATAAAATATGTCCTTCCATTACACCTGTATTTTTCGTTTTAAAACTAAAATCTTTTCAATATATTTTTATTTAATTTCCCATGAAACATTATTGAAGGATGTTTGGAATGCTTGCAGTGGGGTCTTATCTTTTTCTGAGGATTTTGGTTATTAATACCATTCAATAAAAACATGATACTATTTCAGACTGAGACCAATCAGGCAAAAGGAGGAGATATCTGATTCCACCTAGAATTTATAAGATTTTAATGACTCCTAGGCCTACATAAATAAAATTGTTTAAGCTTTGTACTTTTGTCAAATGTTTATATCCATCTATTTTGAAGAAATGTTTTTCTTTATTTGAGATGTAACTCACATAGCATATTTTTATATCGTATCTCAATATTCACTCAAATTTATAGTATTTTTCTTAGCAAGCATGTATAATTATTGTCATATGTTTTTCAGTTTATGAGTAATAGAATGTTTTCTCATAACAATGCCTATATCATGGCAATAGTTGCTTGATTTGTGTTCTATTTTTCATGTGTTTTATTGGCAAACACTTTAAAATGCTTCATCAAATATAAATTATAATGATTAATTTAATGCAGCATACAAAGAGAAATAGAAATAAGCATTTGCATTAAAAAAAACCTATCCTTTTAGTAACTCAACATAGGGCATGCAAAGTGGTGTCCATGACAATAAGTGATAGTAAAAATGTATTTGTGAGTTTAAGATTATGTTATCTAATAATTAGATACATATTCCCATTGTTTTAATTTTACTGTGAGAAAATTCTTTTGTACTAAACAAAAGTAGGTAAGATAATCCTGCCATTATAAAAGAACAAATGTTAAATTTGGCCAGAGCCACAGAAGTCAAAAGAAATGGGGTTAGGCAAAATAGGCCTTGTCCAATTTAAGCTAAAAATAATCATAAAAATATTCACTGAGTATTTCTGAAAAAGCTAAATAGCTTCAGATGAATAGGTTTTTAAGTACTTCATAAAATGAATCTAGGATTAAGATTATTTAAATCTGTTAGCTTTCTGGACTATGCCAAAGGTAGGTTATTTCATAGAAGAAAAGAACCAGACAATGCATTTTATGTAATTATTTTGATTATCAATTATCATTATTATCTATTATTATTTGAAAATAATATTACTAATTACAAAATAGAACCCCTGCATCAGTGTGTCAGTCATCTTTTTCCAAAATGCCAGTGCTGGTAGAACACATGTGTATTAAGAGATTTATTTTAAAGAAATGGCTCATACGATTGTGTGGACAGGAAGACCAAAACCTGTAAGGTAACTGTCAGGTTGGAGATCTTTGTAAGAGCTGTTTTTGCAATCTTGAAGCTGAAGGCTGGAAACTGTGGCAGAATCTCTTTGTTATACCTGAAGATAAAATTCCTTCCTCAGGAAGCCCCAGTCTGCTTGGAAGGCCTTCCACTGATTGAATGAGGCACATGGACATTTTAGAGGGTAATCAGCTTTGCTTAAAGTCAACTGATTGTAAATGTTGATCACATTAAAAATATCTTTACAGAAACATCTAGCCAAGTGTTTGAGCAAACATCTTGCTACCTGTCTAGTCAACACATCAAATTGACTACACAATCAGTAATTAAGATTTAACTTCAAGTGACAGAAACTCCAAATCAAAATGACTTGAATAGTAAAGATACACGTTACCTCCCAGCCAACAAAATGCAAAGCACCCCCTGTGTTGGTGGCACCAGATTCTTTCTGTTTTTCCAATCTGTTACTTTCTATGGAGACTTTATCCTAGATCTTATAGCAAGATAGCTATAGTATTTTGAGGCTCACATCCCAGAGACAGAAGAGAAAGACTGTTTCTTACTATGTCTTATTCCTAGGAATTTACCCAAGTGATACAAGAATGCTGATGCATAGGGGCACACATACCCCAATGTTCATAGCAGCCCTCTCAACAACAGCCAAATCATGGAAAGAGCCTAAGTGTCCATCAACTGATGAATGGATCAAGAAGATGTGGTTTATCTATACATGGAATACTCCATGGCAATGAGAAAGAATGAGATCCTGCCATGTGTAGCAACGTGGATGGAATTTGAGGGTGTTATGCTGAGTAAATTAAATCAGGCAGAGAAGGACAGATACCATATGTTTGCACTTATAAGTGGAGCAGGAGAAACTTAACAGAGGACCATGGGGGAGGAGAAGGAAAATAACTGAGGAGAGGGATGGAGGCAAACAATGAGAGACTCTTGAATACTGAGAACAAACTGAGGGCTAATGGGGGTGGGGGAGAGGGGAAGAAGCGTGATGAGTATGGAGGAGGGCACTTGTAGGGATAAGCACTGGGTGTTAAAATGAAACCAACTTGACAATAAACTATGAAAGAAAAAATGTTTCCCCATAAATCCCACTATCACATTTCCCTTGTCACCTCAATATCATAAGCAGTCACATGCTCATTTCTGGTCTACACTGTTGAGAGGAAAGGGGAAACTTGGCCTGGCTTGGACTGGATATCTGATGAGGAGTAGGTATTTTGGGAACAACCAAAATGCCTGTATTACTAATTGTATTTACCCATATTTTCACAGGTCTTTTGGATTATGCCTGTTTGCAGTTCTTTCTATTGATCTAAAAAAAGTCACTAGTAACTTCATGGATAGGAGTCTCAAATCTTGTACTTTCTCTTGTTTACTGAGCACTTCTATGTGATGTGGCTTCCTGAAATTCAGCATTTGTAAAATGAGCTTTTAATCTTCCCTTCTAACCTTCTATCACTCTTATTTAGCAGCTAAAACTACCATCCACTCAATTACTCCACAGAGAAAACTAAGAGTCAATCCAGACATCTTATTTTCTCACAAAGATGTCCAGCTGTTTACAAAATAAGGGTGTTTTTGTCTTTAACTCTTGACTCAATTTCCTCTTCACCATTCCCATTGCTGCTTCCCTAATCCTGACCTTTCTGTTCAAAACTCTAACCAAATGCCTCATATTTTTGAAGCATACTGCTGTCAACACTGTTTTCCTAAAATTCAAATATGATTCCTTAGACAACCTGCTCAAAACTCTTCAAAATTATCATTTAGCCTGGTGGGATAAAATCTTAACTATTATAAATATTAGACCCAAAGCAAATTTCCTTCCTTGTATTGTTAAAATTCTCATAGTCAACTTTGTCTACTCAAACCAGGTAGATTTCTAAGCTACAGTTTACTTGCTAAAATTTCACAGGGCTTCTCTACCTTGTTCCCCAGAGAAGGAAGAAATACCTACTTCCTCTTTATTGTTACGTGGGTGTACTCACTACAATGAGTAGACTGTGGTCTATCTGAGGGTTGGAGCTGATGTTCAACTTTGTATCCAGAGGTTAACTTAGTAGTAACTATATACGTGATTTCCAGTGGGTAGTTTTAATGATGTTTAGAAAAACTGGTATTAATGGTGATCTCAGGGACTGTACAAAGATTTACAGATTGCCAAACAATTTAAATGGATTGTGCTATCTTATAATCACAATAACCCCATGAACCATGTGATATTATTACCCTTCATTTACCAAGGAAGCTATGGGTTAAAGACAATAGTAGTAAAGGCAGGACTCAAATGAAATCAAGTGTCTATGGTCATAACAATGACCATGTTATCTCTTGGATTATTTAAACTGAGAATTTGTGTGTGTGTGCCTCTGTGTGTGTGCGCATCCACAGGTATGCATGTGTGCATGTATGTATGTTATTACCTACATTTGGCTACCTACCTGTTCATACCCAAAGCAATCCATGCATGTAATGAAGTGCCCATCAAAATACCAACAGAAGTTTTCATAGAACTACAACAAACAATTCTAAAATTTATGTGCATCCACAAAAGATGCGAAATAGCCATCGTAATTTTGAAAAATAAAAGCAAAGCAGGAAGTATCACAATTCCAGATTTCAGGTTATATTATAAAGCTGTAGTGATCAAAACAGTATAGTACTGGCACAAAATTAGGCAAAGAGAACAATGGAACAGAATAGAAATCCAACAAATGAACCTACAATTATGTGGTCAATTAACTTTCAACAAAGAAGAAAATAACACACAATGGGTAAAAGACAATCTCTTCAATAAATAATGTTAGGAAAAATGGACAACAACATGCAAAAGAATGAAACTGGACAACTTTCTTATACCAAACTCACAATGGATTAAGAACCTAAATGTGAGGCCTGAAACCCTAGAAATCCTTCAAGAGAGCACAGGTAGTAAGTAGTGTCTCTGACATCAGCCATAACAACATTTTTCTAGACATGTCTCGTGAAAACCAAAAATGAACTATTTGGAATACATCAAAATAAATTCTGTACAGCAGAGGAAATAATCAAGAAAATTAAAAGGTAGACTACGGAATGGGAGAAGATATTTGCAAATGGCATATCTGATAAAGGGTCAGTAACCAAAATATGTAAAGAAATTATACAGCTCAACACCACAAAACAAATAATCCAATTGAAAAATGGGCAGAAGAAATGAACATTTAGCCACCGAAGACATCCAGATGGCCAAGAGACACATGAAAAGATGCACAACCATAATCATCATCATGAAATGCTGATCAAAACTACTATGAGATATCATATTACACCTGCCAGAATGGATAAAATTAAAACCAGAAGAAGAAACGTTAAGTGTTGGCAAGGATGTGGAGAAAGGGGAACCCACCTGCACTGTTGGTGGGAATGCAAACTGCAGCAGCCCCTCTGGAGGACCGTATGGAGGTTCGCCAAAGAGTGAAGAATAGAACTACTCTCCAACCCAGTAATAGCACCACTGGGTATTTACCCAAAGAATATGAAAACACTAATTTGAAAGGATATATGGATCCCCTGTTTATTTATAACAGCCACATTATGGAAGCAGCCCAAGTGTTGACTGGAAGATGAATGGATAAAGAATATGTATATATATAATGGAATATTACTCAGGCATAAAAAGAATGAAATCTTGCCATTTGTAATGACATGGATGGAGCCAGAGAATATTATGATAAGCAAAATAAGCCAGTGAGAGAAAGACAGATGTCAAATTATTTCACTTATATGAGGAATCTAAGAAACAAAGCAAATAAGCAAAGGGAGAAAAAAGAGACAAAACAAAAAAAGAGTCTTAACTACACAAAACAAGTGATGGTTATCAGAGGTGAGGTAAGTGGGGGGATGGGTGAAATACGTGAAGGGGGTTAAGAGTACACTTATCTTGATGAGCACGGAGTTGAATCACTATATTGTGCACCCCGAAATATTATAATACCCTATGTTAACTACACTGGAAGAAAAGAAAAGAAAAGAAAGGAAAAGAAAAGAAAAGAAAAGAAAAGAAAAGAAAAGAATAGAAAAGAAAAGAAATAACAGCTGAATGAATAATGAAACCAGTCATACAAACAATTGAATAGTGCCACTTAAAAAAGATGACTTCTGTGAATGAAAATTTCCTTATGGCAATCATAACTTATTTTATTTTGGAAAATGAGGATACTATCTCCACAATGGATCAATATTTTCATGAAAAGTATGTCTTAATCACTTTTTCAAAGCTTAAGGAACTTTAAGAACAAATTATATAATTTGATTTGATCAAGACTAGTTAATTCTTTTTTCGTTTTGAAAAACCACACAAAGTAAAGCCTTTTGAAAATAGCTCAGTAAGATAAAATTATTAGAGAAAGTTACCCTAAAAGTATGGCTCTTGCTGTACTATCCTGGAGTTATTAGAATGATAAGATACTTCATTTTTTTAGTGTTTATTTTTTGAGAGAGAGAGAGAGCACAAGTGGGACATGGGTAGAGAGAGAGGGGACAGAGGATCTGAAGCAGGTTCTGTGCTGACAGCAGTGAGCCCGATGCAGGGCTTGAACTCATGAACTGTGAGATCATGACCTGAGCCAAAGTCGGATGCTCAACTAACCAAACCACCGATGCACTGCTAGAATGATAAGAGTCTTTAAATGAAATTATTGCCTGACTAAGAGATATATTTTGTTAGGTGAATATGCTTTGAACTTTTAAGCTTCAAAACTGTTTTATGTCATATAGTGCAATGTTGACTCCTATTTGCTGTGGTTTCCATTTGTATGTTTATATTTAACCCAGAATAGCGAATCAAGTAACTTATGGAGTTTAGAAATATTGTGATATTATGGCACAAAGTAATAATATTTTTTATATAGCCAAGAAGATGTTTTTATAGTGTAGATAGATAGATAGATAGATAGATGATAGATATTTAAGAAAATGAAAGGCAGGGCATGTGAGGTCTTAGGCCAATAGCAGGAGACTTGTTCCAGGTAATAAAATACTCCATTTAATGTGTTCAGTCTGCTGTGGCTTGTCTATAAACAAAACACATGCCTACCTTAGTACATAAAGAAAGGGAGCTGCATCAGAATTATGTAGTCAAGAGTACCTTAATTAGTAAACACAACTGAAACAAAGTTTCAATTATTGGAGAAAAAGGCAATCTATCAAAAATTACAAGGCACAAAAAAGCAAAGGAAACAGAAAAGCATTCTTAAGAGATACAGCAATCAGCAGAATGAGACTCAGCTGTTGGAACTGTTCATCAGGAATTAAAATATCTATGATTCATAGGCTAAAGATCTAGTAGAAAAGGTAAACAATAGGCATGAACAGATGGGCAATTTTAGCACAGAAATAGAAATGATAAGAAAGTGACAAAGGGAAGTGAGAAAGTGTTAGAAACAATATCCTTTATGAAAAATCCTTTGATAGGCTCATCTGAAAATTCTACATAGTTATGATTGAGCTAAGAATCTGTGATCTTGAAGCTATATTAATAGAAGTGTCAAATTAAAATACAAAGAGGCAAATAATTAAAATATAATAAATAAAGTAGTGGTGGGACTACCCACCACTTGGGAATACCCAAGAGTGGTGGGACAATGTAACATGGTGTAATATACATATATTTAGAGTAACAGAAGGATAAGAGAGGAGAATAGGATGGGGTAAATATTTTAAGAAATCACTGAGAATTTTCCAAATATACTGAAAGACATCTAATGTCAGACATAAGAAGCTTAGGATGAAACAACAAATAAAACTACATCTAAATATGACATTGTAAACTTCTGAAAACAAAGAGAAAAATAAAATTTTAAAGGTAGAGAGAAAAAGACATTTTGTACAGAAGAATGAAACTATAATGACAGCAGACTTCTTGTCAGAAATTCCGAAAACTTTGAGTTATTAGAGTGATATAAAGTGCTCAATGATAACAATTAAAGCTGTTAATATAGATTTAAATCTCTTTACCTTTCTTCTTTTTAATTTTCAATATATTTCATAAATGAAGGCAAAGAAACTCTTTTTCTGGCAAATAAAAACTGAGAAATTCATTGCCAGTATACATGCATTACAGGAAACTTTAAATGAAATATTTTCAAGCAGAAGGTATGAGGAATAGCTGGCTCTACAGAAAGAAATAAAGAGAGTTGGAAAGAACAAAATTTAAAGTAGAAATTAAAAAATATATCAAGTGCTTTAAAATGCCTGTATGGAACAAAAATAAATAGTAACAAAGCACTGTGAAGTTTATAACCTGTAAAAGTAAATGCAGGACAATAGCACAGGAATAGGAGGAAGGGATTGGAAGTCTACAGTTTTAAGATTCTTACACTCTATGTGAAGTGTTTTAATATTTTTAGAAAGTAGATTTTACTAAGTTCAGATATATATTATAAAGAAGAGAGCATCAATAAAACTAAAAATAGGTATAAATAATAAGCTAAAAGTAAAGATTAAATACTAAAATTTACAAATCCAAAATAATGCAGAAAGGGGGCAGCACCAAGATGAGAAATGATGGATAATAGATGGCTAGCAAGATCAGAGATGAAATCCAAAGCTATCATAATCACATTAAATTAAAAGGTTTAAATACTTTAATTAAAAGAGAGGAGTTGTCAGATTCGATAAAAAAAAGATCGCCATCTAACTGTGAAAAAGAAACCAATTTTAATTATTACGAAATAGATAAGTAAAGTAATATGCAAATGTGAGTCAAAATAAAGCTGGGGTATATACCTGACAAAGTGGACTTCAGAGCAAGGAATATTATTAGAAATATAAGGACATTCCATACTATTAATCAGATCAATTTACGAAGAGGGCATTCAATCATAATATGTATGCACCTAACAAAATAGCCCTCAAAATACATAAATCTGGAACTGAAAAGGTAAATAGACAAACCTACAATTATGTTTGGAGTCTCCAACATTCCATTCTTAGCTAATCCTAAAATAAGTAGATACATAATGCTTAAGGAAGTAAAAGACCTAAACAACAGTCTCATACATCTTGACCTAACTGACATTTATAGAACAGCAATATTAGGATGCACATTTTTCTCAAGTGCACATAAAGAATTCATCAAGAAAGTCCATATTCTGGGGTGCCTGGGTTGCTCAGTTGGTTTAGCAAACCTTTTTGATTTTGGCTCAGCTCATGATCTCACGGTTCCTGAGTTGGGGTCCGACAGGCTCCATGCTGTCCTGGGATTTTCTCTCTCTTCTTCTTTCTCCTTGCCCCTCCATCACTGGCACACGTGCGCTTTCTCTCTCTCTCTCTCAAAAGTAAATAAATAAACTTTAATTTTAAAAAGTCCATATCTGAGCTATTAAAACAAACCTCAAAAAATTAAAAGAATTGAAACCATATAGTGTACGTTCTCTGATTATAGTAAAATTACATTGGAAATCAATAACAGAAAAAAAAATATTCAGTGAGAATCTCCAGATATATGGAAGTTAAATAACAAATTTCTAAATTAAGAGTTAGATAGTCAAAAAGGAATGTATAAATATTTTGAATTGAATGAACTTAAAAAGACTATCAAAATGTGTTGGGAAAGCTTTTATAATGATGCATATTTCATGTCCTGCTCAGAATATAAAACAAGAAAGTTTTAAATAAAAAAGCCAACCTTTTCCTTACAAAATGAGAAAGAAGAGCAAAATAAATCTAAAACATGAAGAATTTAGGAAATAATAAAAACTAGAGTTACATAAAATTGAAAACAGAAAAAAGAAAAGAAATCAATGAAATTAAATGAGGCTGATTTTCAGAAATGATCAATGAAATTAATAAACCACTATGCAGATACACTGAGTGAAAATGAAAAGAAGATACAGATTACCAATATTAAAAAGACCAAAGGGACATCTCTACCAGTTTTACATACATAGAAAAGAGGAAAGGAATAATATTCTAAACAACTCATACCAAGCAGTTTGATAATAATTGAAATGGACAAATTTTCAAAAGACACAAACTACCAGAGCTTACTGAAGAAGAAATAGGCAATTTTTTCAAATTGAATCACCCCTCCGTAATCAGTCCCCTTGAGCCTCTTCAAAGGTCCTCTTACATCACTAAGGTGTTCTGATGTTAAAATTTTCCTCAGGGTAATTGCTGTCAGGATTAGAAGGCAACATGTGCTTGAAATTTGGTTACTGTGGGTCTTGAATTGGGAAAATAACATTATTTAACAGATTTGGACATTGTAAAGAGTGAATGATGCAACTGGGATTTGGTACTGATGTAATTAAACTTCCGAGACCATAAAGGATTTACTCCTAACCAGGGAGAAGCAGCCAGGTTACAGTTGCTGTGGGAACGGCACCACCACCCAGGTAGTGATTAAAATAAGAAAATCATGGATGGGGGCAGGTTTTTATTTTTTTTTAACGTTTATTTATCTTTCAGACACAGAGTGCAAGTTGGGGAGGGACAGAGAGAGAGGGAGACAGAGAATCCCAAGCAGGTTCCAGGCTTTGAGCTGTCAGACCAGAGCCCTGGGGTGAGGGGTTGGGGTAGGGGTGGGGTTGGAGTTCAAATCTGCAAACTGCGGTCATAACCTAAGCCAGACAACTGAGAGACCCAGGTGCTCCTAGGGGCAGATTTGTTTGATTTGCACTTTAAGACACAAATTTTTTTTCTGACCCTCCCCTGCTCATGCTCTGTCTCTCTCACTCAAAAAATATATATTTAAAAAATATATATTTAAAAGCCAGGGTGGGGGTGCCTGGGTGGCTTAGTCGGTTAAGCGTCCGACTTTCGCTTAGGTCATGATCTCGCTGTTCGTGGGTTCGAGCCCCGCGTCGGGCTCTGTGCTGACTGCCAGCTCAGAGCCTGGAGCCTGTTTCAGTCTGTGACTCCCTCTCTCTGACCCTCTCCTG